AAACATTTCCCCAAAATAATAATAATAATAATAATAATTGAAAATTGCGGTGAAATTTGGGGAAAAATTAAAAAGTAAACAAACAAACAAACAAACAAACAAACAAAAATATTTTCGTACGTCAGTCATTATCGATCGTCGTACCGGAAGTAATTAAAATTATCAACTTTAATTACACGTATTTTAATTTGTTCATATTACCTTTTACCCCCCTCCCCCCGCCTTCCCTAAGGTATAATAATAATAATGATAATAATTTATTTAAAATAAACGTAAGCGGATTAAATTAACTCATTTCGTTTGTTTCGTTTGTTACAGTAATCATAAATAATTAATTAATTAATTATTAAAAATGAGGTGGATATATTACGCTACAATCATTTCCATCGTGGCCATTGAATTGACCTACTCGTTACCTTATCCGAAAGAAACACTCGAAGGAAAGGTAAGTCATTTAAAATTTAAAATAATAATAATTTTTTTACAGGAGAGAGAGAGAGAGAGAGAGAGAGAGTGAGAGAAAATTAAAAACATAAAAATAGGTTTTCGTAATTGGAATTTTTCTTTTTTTTTTTTTATCCGAATTTTTAAATGTAACTAACTACTACTACTACTACTACTACTACCACGTACGACGTTTGTTTGCTTGCTAGCAGTAGACGTTGAAGTCACGTTAAACGTTTGAAATAATAATACTACTACTTTACTTTCACTACTAGTCCTCTACGACTATATATAAAAATTGCGTAACGAATTTTTATTTAACGAAACGAAAAAAAAAGAAAGATGAATGAAGTAATTCGGTGCAAGAAATTTATTTTAAATTGAAATTTTTTACAAATGACGTAAGCGTGATTCGAAAAGGCGGTGAATTTGAAAAAAAAAAAGGTGATTTCTGAACGCGCTTTGACCGTTTGACAATGGACAATAATAAATAAATTGTTTTTAATTCCTTACCGTTCGTAATGATTTGGACGTTTTTATGTTTATCATAAATGGAAAAATGATTTGGAAGGTTTTTTAAACGACAAAATTAATACTCAGGACGTCTTCAAGGTCATAACTAAAGAAGGTTCAGGTTTTGAACGGTGTCCAATTGATAAAATTTTTCTCCTGGACTTTTGTCCACTCACTTAAACAAACAAAAAAAAAAAAAAAAATTTTTTTTTTTGTTAAATTGCGGCATTATTTTTTAATTACTGCTGTTTTTTTTTTTTTTTCTGTTAATGACGACGACCTTAATAAAAAAAAAAAAAAAAAAACGACGTGTAAATAGAATAACTTTTGACGTCATGACTTTTTTGATTCTACATGCCAACAAAATATTTCCTTTTTTTGTTAATACAACAAAATGTAAATTAGTTAACATTTAGTAAGGTGTTAGTTTTTTTTTTTTGCAAAAAAGGTTAAGGAAAAAAGAGTAATAATAATAATAATAATAGTTGTAGTAATAATAATAATAATAATAATATTTCCAAAAGGTTTTAATTATATAAAAATAACTAATTTATATATCCTCCTAATTTTGCTTATAGATTAATTATTATTATTATTTATTGCTTTGTATCCCTAAATCCCCACGTGTATTCCACGTGAAAATTTTTTTTTTTACCGACGTATCGAAAGAGCCATAGGATCGATATATCGATCGATAGATCGATTTCGTTTTGTTTTTTCAATAGACATCACGTCATGACTGGATTTTCCAAAACAATTGTAAAAAAATTTTTTATTAACAGGAAAATCGTCAAAGAATTAATAGAGATTTAGAAAATCCGTCTGTGGATTTGAACGACAGACAAAAAAGAACAGTAGGCGTGTTTAGAAGGATTTTTCCCGAATTATCCAAGGTAAGAAGTCAGGTGAAAGTTGAAAAATTCATTTTCTCATCTCGACATCGATCCCAAGGCGCATATACATTTATTAAATAATAATAATAATAATAATAATAATTGAACCCTCATCATCCTTCGTAACATTTTTTTCAACTTCCTTTGATCATATTTTTTTTTTTTTTTTGTTTCCCCTTCCTCATTCTTCTTCTGCTTTTCGAAAAGAAATCGTTAATTGTTCTTCTGTATCGCCCAAAGTAAACATATTTTGTCGTGTAATTAGATAAAAAATTTTTAATTGATAATTACTCTATGGAAACGTAAGAGAATTTTTCATTTATGTAAACTTAACGAAGCTCCGGTTCAAATATTTATTAAGCGATTAAATCGATACGAAATCAATAAATAAATAATTTATTAATTAATTAATTAATCGAGAAATAATTTTCGAGGTCGAACAATTAAAAAAAAAAAAAAAAAAATTACTCAACAAATTAACATTAGACCGTGGATGTATAATTATTAGTCGTAACGTTAAAAAAAACAAACATGGCGTCTTGATTGTTATGTAAGATATATTGAAATTTTTTTGCGAAAATAAGGCCCCGAAAAATATGATTTTTTTTATCTTTTGATTTTCGTACAAATTTTAGGTTCGAATGGGTAGATGGTTCGTCCTTATAAGGATTGTTTTAGTCAAAATTCGGTTGAAATTGATGAGCGAGACGAAATCGTCACGCGTAATAAATTTCATTAAAATATTTAATTAAATACCTTAAAGGTATTAAAACATAAATTTTTTTTTCGGTTAAGTCTGACGTCATGGGAATTATTACGTAAAATAAGATTTTGGTCGATTGCAAACTTCGTTTCATTATTTTTTCTAGAATTTTCCATTATTTAATATAAATAATTTAACGATAATTTAAATCGTAATTTTGTACTTTGTCATGTGTGCGACAACACGATTTAAAAAAAATTATTATTATTATTAAATTGCTAATATTTTCTGACGTCAATACGATTTAATTACTTTTTATTATTATTATTATTATTAAAACATTAATAAATAAATAAATAAATAAATGATTGAAATCGATTGAGATTTGTTAAAATAAAATTACGTAATGTTTACAATAAACGACCACCCCGACGACGAAATCATAGAGTAAGAAAACAAAAAAAAACATGGCGGTGGGTTTCGATTGTTTGTTTATAATGTGACGTTTTACCGGAAGAAAAAAAACGTATGTTTTTACGCGGACTCGCACCCTTTAGGCTAGTATCTATTACTCTATGCAACACCTGACCGACTATCCTCGAGGTCTGTGATTGAAGAAAGAGAGAGAGAGAGAGAGAGAGAAAGAGAGAGAGAAAGAGGGAAAAGCATTTGAGCTTTATTTGTCTCCAAAAGAAACAGACCTATTGGAAACATGTAACATCTATCTCGTTCTTGTTTTGGCGGAAGAATATAAAAATTCGTTAGGTAATAATGCACTTGAAGATGAGAGGTAACGTGTGTCACGTGACACATCGCCATCATAAAATTTTTGGCGGGCCCGAAGTGGTTATTAGTTCGAATTACGATGCCAGGTCGTATCGCGTTTTGTTCTTAACGAATTGAATGTTTTAGCATGGAAATGGTTCACATTCAAAGGAAATTATGTAATTTACCTACAAAAAACAAATGCAAACAATTTTTTTTTTTTTCTCACTCAAAGGAAAAACGTTTTTGAATACGTGTAAAGTGAAAGTATTGATAAATCAATTAGCCATTACTAAAATGAAACAAAAGTCTAAAGAAAACATCTTTTATAATTCTCAATTAAAAATCTTTTCTTCTTCTTCTTCTTTTTCTCCATTTTTTTTTTTTTTTTTTATTTGTTTTGTTTTTTTACGTGGCAACTTTCTTTTCTTTAGAATTTCATTTTTTTTTTTTTTAAATTTCTTTCCGACTATAATTTTAAAATTATTTATATTTTTCACAATTGAGTATTAAAAAGCGGGGAGACCCGAAATAAATTTAAATGAGTGCCTATATGGGGGGATGAGAGTGGGGGGAATACAACCAAATTCAGCATAGAGATAAAAAACTTTAAAAAAGATTCAATAACGATTTTGTAAACTTTCTCCCACGTTAATTAATCAATGTTAACAACCACTTTTTTTCGTATTCTAAAAAGGCGGTGGTGACTTATAGTAAAAAAAAAAAACAATGTTAAAGATCAAAGGTTGCACGTTCAAATGTTTGTCTGTTTGTTTGTTTGTTTGTTTGCTTTTTATTTTTATTATTATTAATTTGTTACGTAACATTTTTTTTTTTAATTAGAAATGTTGACTCCCTTGATTTTTCTGTAAATTTTTTTTTTTTTTTTTTACATACGTCAATGTAATATTGGATTTACCCGCGAAAACATGGCGGCGGCGATTCAAATTCCCATTTTTTTTTTATTTACGACGATTCGAATAATAATAATAATAATAATAATAATAATAAAATTTCTCCGCGTGTTATAATAATAATAAGAGATTTTTTAAAACGTTTAATTAGATTCTAGTTACACGACACAAACAGAAGAACAACACTTACGATTTTTTTTAAAACAATCGGCAGACATTTTTTTTTTTTTTTTTTTTGACTCTTTCGATAATAATTACAAAAAATAATAATAATAATGATAATAAATTAGGAGAAATTTATATATTTATATTATTAGATGGTAAAACACGTCGACAATAAACAATAAAATTGTTGTTGATAATAATAATAATAATAATATAATTTTCTCCTTTTTTTTTTTTAAACTTTGCCGTTCTCCTTATTAATTTTTCAATGTTTGCCGATTATTATCATTATCATTCCATTAAATAATTTATATTTTCCTTACCTTAAATCCATTCTTCACGTCAGCCATTATGAGTCTATTTCTTCCGTTTCCGGTTAGTATCATCCTGTAAAAAAAAAACAAATAAAAAATTTTCATTTTAATATTTTTCCTTTCACTCGACCACAATGTAATTTTATAAATAATTCGAATTAAATTTTTAAAAAGGGAGGGAGGGGGGATTCGACAATCAATCAATCAATCAATCAATCAATCATTGAAGAGAAATGATATATATATAAATATTGTTTATTAAAAATATAAAATAACTTAATACTTGTAGATGATAGATGATAAAATACAGGAAATAACTAGAGTTGTATTCAGAGTAGTTGGTAGATCTGTACTTAGTGGTGCTTTAGGAGGTAATGCGGGAGGAGGATTAGGTGGTGGTGGAGGAGGAAATTCTGAAAATTCAACAAGGAGGATATCAATTGTTTTACCTACGTTTCCACCGGATGAAGATGAAGATGAGGAAGAAGAAGAGGAAGAGGTAAAAGTTGAAAGTACGACGATTGGAATGCAACAAGACGATAGTAGTAGTTTTACAACAACAACCGTTACTGATCAACAAGAAGAAGAAAGTACGACAACATTTGTTGAGGATAGCAATGACAATCTTATATCGACAACGTCGGAGGATGACAATGGAAATTCAATCGGAAGCAAAAAAAGGAGTGTCGATGATGATGATGATGATAGGAAAAAAAAAAAAGGTGTCACAAAATTATTGTTATTTTGCCTGAAAATTTATTCTTCAATGTCACAAAAAAAAAAAAAAAAAACAAATACACAAAATTCAAAAATGCTTTGCAAAGTTTAAAAATTTTTGTCTTCGGGGAAAAATGTCGTAGTTTTGCCCCCCCCCTCACCCTCCCCTCACCCACTACACACACAGCGGAGGGAGGGGAGAGAGAAAGGGGGTCAAAACTCCATTTTTGTATTTATTTTCTTATTTATTATTATTATTACTTAAAAATTTTTTTTTTTTTACCACATTTTCATCACAAATCAGCAGCGGAATGCTCCTGTTGATTCTTCATGGCAACAAAGCATGATAATAATAATAATTAACATAAGAATCATGAAAAACAAAAAAATTCTGGCTATGAACCCAGGGAAAATTTATCATCGCATTTTTTTTTTTTTTTTTTTTGTGGGGGTGAAATCAATCATGGAATCAATCATTGATTGGATCAAAATTCATTCAAATCATCATCTGTTATGCGACTGCGCAAAAAATAAAAAAAAAATAAAAAACTGATTTGAAAATCAGATTTGCGTAGAATTTTATTATTTTTTCATCATTATTATTATTATTTTTTTTTTTTTTAATTACTAATTGGCATGTATAAATCAATTTTTTTTTTTTTTTTGTCATACGTAATCATATTAAAACTGGGGGCTTTTTTTTTTTTTTTTACTCTATGGAACGTATTTACCTTCATTAAAACTTTACACTTTTATATAATATGACGTTGTGACGTCACTGACGTTATTGAAATGTGTCTTGTAAAAATCTAACAAATTCATTTATGGATTTTTATAAGATTTGTTTTTGTTTTTGGCTTTTCGTTATTAAACTTTTTTCAACTGCTACTACTACAACTTAACTTGGCATCCATGAGTGACGTTTACGATTCTGTAACGCTAAACGTTATGATTTTACACACGCGCATACACAAACAAACACAAACACAAACACGTACTCGAACGTACATGAAACACACACACATTTAAAACACATTTTCTTGTTTATATGTCTATGTAAGTTAACTTATTTTTATGTATTATTTAAAAATGAAATGCCTCATGTGTCAATAATCAATTTAACTTTTAATTTGCATTTGTGTTCGAAACAAAAAAAAACCGTTTTTTTTAAACTAAAACAACTGTTCGAAAATTCGACGGAAATAAAAACAAAACGAACAAATTTTTCGAACAGTCCACCGTTCGAAAAATCAACGTGTTAAAAACAAAACAAACAATTTTTCGAACAGTCCACTGTTCGAAAAATCGACGTGTTAAAAACAAAACAAGCAATTTTTCGAACAGTTCACTGTTCAAAAAATCAACGTATTTTTAAACACTTGAAATTTTTTATCTCCGTCGATTTTTCGGACAGCGGACTGTTCGAATGGATTCGTGTTCGAAAAAAAAACGGTTTTTTTTTTAAAAAGTAAAACGACTGTTCGAAAAATCAACGTATTTTCAAACAGTAGACTGTTTGAAATTTTTTTATCTCCGTCGATTTTTCGGACAGCGGACTGTTCGAACACTGCATTCGTGTTCGAAAAAAAAACGGTTTTTTTTTTTAAAAAAGTAAAACGACAGTTCGAAAAATCAACGTATTTTCAAACGGTAGACTGTTTGAAATTTTTTTTTTTTACATCCGTCGATTTTTCGAACAGTCGAATAGTAATAAATTTACGTTAGAAAAATCAAAGTAATAATAATAATAATAATTTATACTTATTATTATTTATTTACACATCAAACAGTTTAAAATATTTTCTCTCACACACGGATCGATTATTTCCCGCCTTTTTTTTTTTTTTTTAGTAAGTTCAAAATGGCGTGATGTAGATAATGTAATTTTTAAAATTCCTTTAATTAATTTTTTTTTTTTTTGAAATTCGAGAAAGAAAAATTCACAAAGCGGTGGAATCAAAAAAAAAAAAAACTCGATTTTTATCGATATATCGATCGATATATCGGTCAATTATTGAGTAAATAAAAGAAAAAAATTTTTTTAATGAAAATATAAACATGAATAATTATTATTGCATTATGAATTGAAATTCAGGTTTTTTTTCTTTCTGTCGATTGTATAATAATAATAATAATAAAGTTTAAAAGTCGGTTGTCGAGTTGATGTCTAAATAGTTGATAATCTTGACCGAATAATAATAATAATAATAATAATAATAATAATAATAATAATAATAATAATAATAATAATAAGTCGAAAGAAGAGTAACTTGAACTCGATATTAAAAAAAAAATAATAAAAATTTATTTATTTTTAATATGGAAAAATAAATAAATAAAATTTCCCACATGATTACACATCTTTTTTTGTTTTCGCAACATATTCACACGTTTAAACACGATGATCATAATAATAATAATAATAATAACTTTTACATAATAAATCATAATGTTTAAAACAGAAAAAAAAAGCATATCAATTTCTACATTACGACCGTTAATAAAAATAATTAAATGCCGTCGTAAATTATTTATTAATAATAATAATAATTAAATAAATAAATAAATAATTTTTCTTTTTCAGGGACAGGGAGGAGAAGAACAAAACGTTCTCTCTGAATCAGCATCAGAATCAAAAGAAGTGCGAGTACCATTCGTTCCATTAAAAACAGAAAAAGATCTTCAAACGGCAGCTTCTGGAGGTATTTTAAATAATAATAATAATAATGAATGGAGAGAGAGAGAGAGAGAGAGAGAGAGAGAGAGAGAGAGAGAGAGATAAATACGAAAAATTTTTTTTTTTTTTTTTTTTTTAGAAGTCAGCGACAAAGCTGATTCTTCTCAAGAAGAATTTAACGACGATGTTGAAATAACAGATAATGATGAAAATTCTAGAAGTAAAAGATTAGGAGTTTTTGGAAATCTATGGGGTGGAAGTTCTGGAGGTGATGGAACCTCTGACGGTGGTTCTGGAAATTTTTTATTCGATATAATTAGGGTAAGTTTTTCCACATTTTTTTTTCTACGGACCAAAAAAAAAAAAATTTCATTCGATTTCTCTCACCCATTTGTGATTTTTCCTAAGTAAACCCCGCCATTTTTTTTTCTCGAAATTCGAGATAATCGAATCCTTTATCTCGGTATAAAAAAAACGTGGAAGAAGAAAATGACGTTTTTTTCACATATAGAAAAACTTCTTAATTATTTCACCATTTATTCGTTTTTTTCGTGTTTAAAGGACAAATATTTAAAAACATAAATGATTATTTAAATTATTTGATAAATATGGCGCACGCTACTTTTCTAGAAATAATTATGAAATAATAATGATAATAAAGGAAACGTCAGTAAATGAAAATTTAATTGATCGAATTAAATGGGACGAATAGGATTTTTTTTTGTAAATAATACAAATTAAATCGTTACTTGATTTTATTATTCGGTTCAAAGAGGCGGGGGTGAGGAGGGGAGGGGAGAGAGTGAGGGAGGAGAAAGGAATAGGGGTGAGGGAAGGGAGGGGTAAACGGTTTTTTTTTTGCCCTCGTACTTTGATCATTTTGAATTAATGCATAATTCACCGACCTTCTGTATAATTATTTTCATCAATCCGTGATTTATTTAGGTTGTTTGTCCTTTGATTCATAATAAATAAATAAATAATTATTATTATCATTATTATTACGACATTAAAATGTCAAAGAAAAAGAGGGGAAGGAAAGATAGAAAAAAAAAATGACGTCGTGTCACGAGCTTATCATTCGCTACCTTACACACGCACGTAACGAGAATTTTTGATATTAAAAAAAATTATTATTATTATCGTTTGTATCGAACGACGATTCGTTAATGCCTTGCCCCCCCTCTCTCCCCCTCCGTTTCGTTAAGTAAATTGTAAAAAAAATGATAATAATAATGATAAAGAATGAGATTCGTTTGTTCACGTTAAAATAGATTACGTTATCATTTTTAAATGTCGAAAGATTAAATCTCGAAAGTCATTAATTTAAATGATAATAATAATAATAATAATAATAATAAATTTAATGGGAGATTAAAAGTTTGTTACACGAAAAAAAAATAATAATAATAATAAATTTTTGGGGTAACCTTTCGGGTTCAAAATAAATAAATAAATAAATAAATGTTTAAAACGATGTCCGTCACGATCATTTTATCATTATCATCATCATCATCATCATTAGCATCGTCATCGTTATCGTCATCGTCATGAAGTAGGGGGTAAATTAAGGGATGATGAATTTTCTAGAAATAGTAAAAAATTATTGGTGTGATATTTAGAAATCATTTGATGGAGCTGGAAGAGCAATTGGAACCATTTACCGTACGATAACAGGAACTGATAACGTCAATCGACAAAGTTATACGAATGATGTGTCGTCATCGTTTGAATCTTTTGACGTCATGTCACAATCGTTCAATACGTCATCAGGCTTTGATAACACGACGGTAATAAAAACAAAAAAAATTTCATCGTAGAAAAAAAAAAAAAAAAAACAAAATCACGTTTATATTTACACGCACACAAACACACACACACACACACACACACACTCTCTATGGAAAATGTAGTCGTTCGGTTTTTAACCCATGTAGTTATTATTATTATTATCATCATTATTATTATTCACTCGAGTTTGTTTGATTGTAATTTTTTTTGTAAAATGTAGTTTGTATGAAATTAGCACTACTACTTGGGTTTTTTTTTTAAAGAGAGAATATGGTGGCATGTACGCATTAATTTGTTTGTTTGTTTGTTTGTTTGTTTTATTCATTTTTTTTAATAATAATAATAAATTAAACAAATGAACGATCGTTAAAAAAAAAAAAACTAAAAGTTAAATTTATTGTTACTGAAGTTGTTCGTTGTTTGTTATTGTCAAAGTTTTTGGTAAAACGTTTGTTAGAAAGAAAAAGGGTTGGAATCAATGGAAATGACGTCATAATTTCCGCTTCGAGAAAAAACGTTAAAATGTTTGTAAATGAGCGACAAAATTTCCGGACAAATTGGCGACACCGACAAACAAAAAAAAAACACTTAAGAAAATATTTTGTGCGACGTAACAACCGCAAAAAATTAATTTATTATTATTATTATTATTATTAGTTAACATTTTTCAAATTGTATACGACGGTAAGATAAAAACGCGCGTTTTTTTAAACGACCGGAAGTTATTAATTACAGCGTTTAAGTGAAAGAAAAATTTTTCCATAGATTAAATAAAAACTCGAGTAAACCGTCAAATTCACCTATTTAACTTTCACTACCATAATCGACGGGTAATAAAAAAAAAATGGCCGAAGGCAAGGTAATAATAATAATATTATTGGTACGTGTCATACCTGATATCAATCTCACCTGGAGAAAAAAATAAAAATAAAAATAAACGTGGAGGTAATAATTAATGTAATTTGTAACGAAAACGACATACCTTAATACCTGTTAAATCAAATCGTTAATTTTTTTTTTTTTTTTTTTAAATAAAATGTTCTAATTAATGATTGAAAATAAGCTGGGGGGTTAATTTCCTTTAGGCCCTGGAAAAAATTTTTACTACAACGTCCGATTAAATTATCAACGTATAACATTGACGGTTGGAATTTTTGGAAAAGTTTTTACGTGGAACGAAACGTTATTTTATTCTTATTCCACTTCTATTTCGTCCATTTGTCACTAACGTTTTCTTTCTCTCTCTCTCTCTTTCTTTTCTTCTCTTTTTCTTTTATGTATCTCTTTTTTTGTTTCCCTCTTTCCCTTTGACATTTTTAATCTCTCTCTCTCTCTTTTCTGTCTCATTTCTTCTCTTTTTCTGTCTCTCTCTCTCTCTTTCTCTATCTACCTTTTTATTTGTCTCTCTGTATCTCTCTATTCTTTATTACCTTTCTGTCTCTCTATCTCTCTCTGTCTTTTTTTTTAACGACTCTTTTTCTTTATTTTTTTTCTCTCTCTCTACATTTCGTTCTCCACCTATTTGTGTCTCCCTTCTTCTCTTTCCCTTCTGCCTCTCTCTCTCTCTTTTTCATTCTTTATTCTTCTGTCTCTTTCTGTCTCTTTTTTAACGACTCTCTTTCTTAATTTCTTTCTCCCCACCTCCCTCTCTCTTTCTTTCTTTATTTTTTCTCCTCCTCCTCTCTCTCTCCCACTCTCTTTTTATTTTTTTATGTCTCTTCCACTCTCTCCCCCTCTCTCTCTCTCTATCTCACTCTTAATCTTTTATCGTTTTTATCATTAGGTAATTTATTTTTATTATTTTTTTTAAATGTAAAATAAATTGATTTTTGTGGATTCGTTTGTTTCACGCGTAACGTCAACAACCGTTTGTTGTTGTCGTAACTTTTTTTGTCCACGCCACGTTTTTTTTTTTTTTTTTCCATTTATCGAATCGTTAAAAAAACGGTTACGAAATAAATAAGATCTTTGAAATTGAAAAAAAAATTTTTTTTTTTTATTTACCTGACATTTTAACGGTCACGCACTTTACTTCGTTATTAATTAATTAAGGTTCATTTTGCTTTTTGCGACAAACTTTTTTATTACGTCATAAATTTAATAATTCATTCATTCATTCGATCAATCAATCAATCGAGTCCGCACACCTTAATCAATTTAAAAAAGTAATAAAAAAAGATAAAGTCGTCATTGTTGTCGTGGTTGTTGTTGTCATTTGGGGCATCATCCGAACTTTTTCGTTTGCAAAACAAACAAACAATAATAATAATAATAATTTTATTTTCGTTTTCGACAGTTGGTTGCAGGAAGTGGAGCATCGGAACAACACGACGAAGCAGCACATTCTGGAGTTACCGAACACGTTCATGGTCACGCTTTAGATGACGGATATCAAACTGGAATTCCAGGACCGATAACGAGGCTTTTTGTCATCGCCAACCGTGGTGTAGCGAATCTCATGCAAGATTTAATATTGGTAACGAACATTCGACATTTTTCTTTTTAAAAAAAATTGCAATTTAATTAATTTTTGTTTGTTTGTTTGTTTGTTTTTCCAGCGTTTGGCACAAACAAGCGAAAGATTAGTTAATTTCAAAGCTCGACTCATCACGGCCATCATTTAAAAAAAAGGACAACAAATTACAACTATTATCATTATTATTATTATTTCGATAACTATATGCAGGAAATACGAAATTATTTTAAACGGCTCTCTTTCTCATCCCCACTCCCACCCCCCCCCACACACACACACACACACCCCCACATTTTCACGCATTTTTTTTTTCAAAACCCGCAACCACACACACACACACACACACGTCCATACCATAGTCAAATTTCGATTATTTATTTATTTATTTATTATTTAAACAAAAAAATTCTATTTGTTGAGGTTGAGGATTACTTTAAGCAGACGATAAAACATTTTTTTATTTAAATGGTGGGGGGGAGTGTGAAAAATTAACGAAAAAATTTTTTTCTCTTCTCATTCATTCGTTCGTTCGTTCGTTCGTTCGTGACAGTTATGACGTCATTTAACGGTTTTTTTTTCGATTTTTTATTTATTTTATTAAATTTGGGAAAATGTTAAGAGTTACCTTAAAAGCCCCCCTAGTCAAAAAAAAAAAAAAAAAGAAAAAAAAAACTCTTTTTTTTACTATTTTGTAATTGTAAGTAAAATAAAAACTACAAAAAATTAATTAATTAATTAATTAATTAAGTAGTAATTAAGAATTAAAAAAATTTTTTTTTGTCGGTTGCTCATATTATATAATAATAATAATAAATATTAATTTTCGTTTTTTTATAATTTTTTTTTTAAAAAAAATATATTTATGTAAGAGTAAGTAGGTAATGTAAAACGATTATTATCATTATTATTATTATTAAATTTTAAAAATGTGACCTTTTTTTTATGTGTGTGCCGAAATTTTATGTATTTAAAAGAACGAAAATTAAAAAATAAATAAAATACTCGCACTTTCTTTTTAAATTTAAGGTTTTTTAATTAATTAATTAATTGTAATTGTAATTTTTTTTTTAAATTTAAAATATTTTTGGTAAATATATGTATATGTATAATTATTATTATTATAAATTAATTGATATAAATAATTAGTGGTTTTTTGTTTTTTACCTTGTTTTTTCCTTTCCTTTTTGTTTGTGATATTAAGTAAATAGTTTTGTCTTGTCTTTTAAATTAACTTTTTAAACGATTGTGAAAAATTAATAAAGAAAAAAGATTTTATTAAAACAAAAACCGTTACGAACGTTTTCCATTTTGAAATTTAACGAACGCGTCGTGGTGGCAACAACGTCTCAAAGTTTTCAAACTCATCGCAAAGATGGCAGCACCAGCTTAAAGTTTTTCAAAAATTCATCGTAAAGATGTCACCACTCGTCACTTCCGGAATAACGTTTAATTTCGACGTTTGAAAAAAAAATTTAACGGAAATCGAATAATTAGGATTTTTAAAAAAAAAAAAAAAAAAAAACAAAATTAATAATAATAATAAAAAATGTATTTCTCATATAATGTCATTTACAAAAAAGTTTTTTTTTTTTTTTTTAAATAAACAAATGAATATTAATATTAATAATAATAATAATATATACGTAGGTAAAAAGCACTTATTATTTAAAAAATACGTTTCGAAAAAAAAAACAAAATTTATTTACAAAAATAGGCTCACTTTTTTTTTCTTTCGTTGTGACACGTAATAAAATAAAAAATAATAATTAAAAAAAAAAAAAAAACAATAAAAAAGTACTATATAAAACTTTTAACATTTACAAAAAAAAATAATATAAAAACTTTTTGCTTAGGCACGGTTTTTAATGATGCAATGTAACAACAACAAAAAAATTAAAACATGTGTGTTTATTTAAAAAACAAGTGATTATTATTATTATCGTTGAAAAACATATTTAAAAAAAAAAAACATGGCGCGAACAAAAGCAAATCATTACATTAATAATAATAATGATAACGTTTTGTCATTCTCGCATTGGTCCTCGAAATCAGTAATAAAAAAAATCTGTCGCGTTTGTCAATTATCGTGATAATTTTATTAAAGGCTATTTAAGTAACAAGTTATGATGATAATGACAATAATGATGATGATGATGATCAAGATGATGATGATGATGACATTTTTTTTTTTTTTTTTCACTAACACTAAACAATGAGTGAGCATTTCAATAATAAGCGTCGTAAGTATTTACACAAAGGCATCCATGTTTGTTTTTTTTTTTTTTTTTTTTTTTTTAAATTATAAGAGTTTAAAAAATGTTCAGTGATGTCGATTAGGACTCGGAGGAGGAGGTAGTGGATTGAAATAAGTGCTCGAAGGTGATGGAGGACACGATGATGGAGTCGGTGGTGGCGGAAATGGATCCCCATCGCATTCCGAAGCCGTTCCTCTGCTGTACGTCATGTACTCGCTTTCCGTTTGAGGACGATACCTGAAAACATTCATTCATTCATTCATTCATTCATTAAGAGGTTTTCTCGTTGGGGGCCGGGGGCCGGGTGGGGGGGACTCACCCGTAATCAGATTCATCGCACACGTCCGTCGAACAGGGTGTCGGTGGCGGAGGTTGATTAATGACTCTGTAATGTCTGTATGGTCTGTATCGCGACGCGCTCGCCGAACAACATCGTCGTGATTCCGTCGTCGTGGCAGGAGACGGTGGAGGATTTAATGTTTCCGCCGGATACACGTTTGCTCCGCTGCACATTCCGTTCGACGTTGACGAACTCGAAGCTCCTGCAAAACATAAAATAAAAATTAAAAAAATAAATTCGGCGGCGGGGGAGGATCCCCCCCCGAAATTCTCGTCGTTAAACGTCCGACCCTCACCTGTTATGTGATTCCTATCGTAACTGTTACTCGTTGTGCTTCCGTTGAACATGGACATCCTCACCGAATCTTGTATTTTAGTAGGTTTGGGCATTTTCATACTTTGAAAAGGTTTCGGTGCCAGCGGGTCTCCCGCGGAATCTCCAACTTCGTCGGGTATTCTATTTCTTTTCCTTCGGCAACAGTATATCGAGAGCGGTATGAGAGAAATGGCACAAGCGAAAACAACGATAACACCCAAAACGTATCCCGTGTAATCTAATGGAAACAAACAATTTCGTTAAAAAATGAACCGGGAAAAGGGAAAATTTCAAGCATTAAAATTACTTTTATCCGCGTATGGTATGGAAGCGATGTTACAAGCGGACGGATTTTCATCCGAATTATCTTCGCACGTGTTTATCCCATCGCAAACGGACAATTGATCTATGCATCTTCCCGATCCCACGCATTGAAATTCTCCCTCTTTGCAACATTTCGCTTCGTCCGAACCGTCCGGACAATTTTCTTGTCTGTCGCAAACAAACGACGAATCTGAAACACAAACAAACGTCAAATCCCGCCGCATTTTCCGCCTGCAAGAAGAAGGAAAATCATCGAAAGGTTTTCAATACGATCACCGACCTATGCAATGCCCGGACAAACATTGAAATTGATTCGGACCGCAATTGGGACAACCGGTTTCGTCTGAACCGTCCGAACAATCCGCTTGTCCGTCGCACCTCCAATCTATGGGAATGCAATCTTTACCCCCGGTTTTTTTCATTCCGAGACACGTGAAATGATCGGCTCCGCAAGATGGCAAATCGGAACAAGTCCTGCGAAATAAATAAATAATTTTTTTTTTTTTTCAAATCCCGCCAAAATTCAAAATCATCTAAAAAAATTCTGGATCACCTGTCGTCTGTAAGGATTTGATCGATCGGACAAGCGCATTTACTTTTCAACGGATAAAGTGACGGTTGTTCCATTGGAAATTTATCCAAATTTTTAACGCCGTCGTACCTTCCATCGACGTCTTCCAGAGTGTTGTGAGACTCGTCGAATTCGTTGTTGTGTATTTCGAGCTGGGAAAAAAAAAACTTTATTCGTTAGCTTTTGAAAAATGATTCGATTAATGGACGAATGAGGTAAAGGTCATATTCACCTGATGACTGTATGATGATAAATATTCAGATCTGTTGTAATATAACCCGCCTCTGCTGTGAAGAGAATTAAAAGGTCTGGAATCGACGATGACGCAAATGTGAGAACAACCGAGTTTATTTATCGCACTGCACGGATGAGACTTCAACATCTAACAGTTAAAAAATCATAGAGTAACAAACGTCACGAATCAAATAATAATAATAATAATAATAAATGTGAATTTACCTTAAGGGTAGGCATTTGTACGGCTACCATATCCGTGGGCATGACTCTCGTAAGTACGTTTCTTCTATGCTTGTTCAATTTAAGTAATTCGTTGGCGATTTTTATTTGCTCTATGACGTGATTATCTTTCGTCACCAAATACAACATGCTCTTTTGAATGGCCAAACTTTCAACTTCGACTTGATTAAGTAACGTTTTTCTAACAACGAACGAACGAACAAACAAATTAAAATTAACCACCACCACCACCGCCAAAAAAAGGGGGGAGGGGAAAGGAGGGGACACGCAAAGATTTCCACAATTAAATCAATACCAACCTTCTGTGACCGTCCAAATTACAAACGTCTATTTGAAACGAATATGCGAAAAATAAAAGGTTCGAAGCTCGGTCGACGGCAATCGACGTCACGTCTTTCAAATCGTTTGCTATCAATAATTTTTCCGAACCGTCCAATCGCGACCTGTAAACTTTGTGAACGGACGTGAGATCCGTCCAAAATAGGAACCTGAAATTTAAAAAAGATTCGCATTCGGATATTATCGCAATCGATGGCAAGAATGATCGATCTAAGGGGGTTATAAAATGTCTCTCACCCTTGTTCCGGATGCAAAGCCAAATTTCTAGGCTTGTGCGATATATTTTTTAATATCGAATCGACTTTCACGGTTGGCGAATCGATTCGCGTCACGTTTATCACATCCGATATTGCACAACTCCAAAATAATAATCTCGTGTAAGGATCCAAAGCTAAATCGTATGGATGAAAATTTTTATCCGTGATCGTGAACACGGTCGACGTTTTAGATTCCGTATCGCTTCGTCTTATGGACTGAGAACGTCCGTCGATCTGATACCACACACAAAAAAAAACAATCATCATTATTATTATTATTATTATTAATTGTAATTATTAATTAAAAATCATTTGAATAATTTTATTCACCCAATATAAATATTGCGATATGGGATCGAATTCTATCGCTCGTACGTTTTTTACACCCTGTATGGGTAAAATAACATCCGGACAATCGTCCGTATCCGGAACCAATCTATGAATCGAATTCTTTTGCGAAAACAATATGAAAGATTTGGGTTCTGGAAAACAGAAAAAAAAAATGATTTAAAATGCATAATCAATAATCGATACATTCACGTCAATTTTATTTGGGGGGGGGGGGGTAAAACGTACTCAGACACGTTTTATTCGTGTTCGTGTTCAAATGATAATGCATAGGGCAGTTACATGCGTAACTATCACCGGGTAGAGGCAGGCAAAGATGCGAACACCCTCCGTTGTTCACCGCGCACTGATTCCAACCGCTTTGCCTTCTTTTATGATACACCAATATGTCGGACACGTCTTTCAAATTACTGTGAATCAAAGTTCGATTTTGTCCCGTCGTTTTATTAGCCGCTTCGATAGCTCCAGTCTCCCAATCCGTCCAGTAAATGTAATCCTGCAAACAATTACGGAATGACTCCTGCAATTCTTACACAAATTAATTTTTCCCCATCGAACGTATCATACCTGATACTGGGACAATCCGATAGGTTTGGATAAATTATCTTTTATGATTTTTCTTCTGCTCGTTCCGTCTAGGTTGCTACATTCTATCGACGGTTTATTAGACGTCCAATATAATTTCCTATACTCGTCGTCGATGGTAAGTCCGTTCGCACGACCGACATTCGTGACAAGATCAATAATGTTCTTTCCATCCATTGTCGCTCGTTTGATAGTTCCCATTTTAGACCAATCCGACCAATACATGTACCTGAACATAATACTTTTCGAAATTTTTTCTCCGAAGAAAAGAAATTACAGTTTAATTAAAACAAAACAAACCCTTGTTTAGGATCCAAAACTAAATTGTACGGTTCCTCCACATCTTTCCATATTAGAACTCGTCGAGACGTCCCGTTCGTTCTGGCAACTTCTATCCTCTTATTACCCGAATCGATCCAGTATATATTGTGAGACACCCAATCCACTGCGACACTCTGAGGCATATCCAATCCGAATTCTATGATTTTTTCAACGTCCGAACCGTTTATGAAAGATCTCGTGATCGTTTTCAATTTCGTATCAGCCCAATAAATTCGACCGTCGTTTTTATCGAAATCCAAACCGCTAAAATAATTTTTAAAAAAAAATTCAAACTCAACGGTTTTTAACGGTTTTTTTTTTAAAGTTTAGAGAAATAAGTGATACCTTGCATATTTCACACCGGCTATAGGTAAATTTAAATCGTTGTTGTGATTTTCTATGCTTATTTTACCAATGGCTTCCCGTCTAGAAAATAATAGAAACGCTTCCGGCAACACGCAAGTTTTCATGTTCGAACTTAATTCGTAATCTGAAATCACATTATAATAATAATAATAATAATAATAATAAAATGGGGTGACAAATGCGTGGGTAAATCATTTTCGGAAAAAGTTTAAAAAAAAAATACCTATTTGACAATCGCACGTGTAATTATTGTTGGGCCTGTTTAAACACAAATGATTGCAGCCTCCATTATTTACGGAACATAAATTTTTCCCCTTGTAATATCCCAATTTAACAGCTTTTAAATCCATTATGTTGACGATTTGATCCGCGATCATTTGCCTGTTGCTAGACGTAAACCTGTTCACTCTATCGATGCTCCTTTGACTCCAGTCGGTCCAGTACAAATAATCTCCCAGCAAACTCAAACCGAAAGGATGAGATAAATTATCACTTATGATTTCTCGACGATCGGTTCCATCGAAACTTGAAGACTATACATAATTTTTTAAAATATTATTTACGCATTTAAAAAATTTTAACGATAATAATAATAATACGTTTACCTCTATTTTATCGGTTTGAGCATCACACCAGTACAACTTTTCTAACGTTAAATCTAAAGCTATTCCGTTAGGCCAACCTAAATTTTCACTTATCAACAACCTCCTGTCCGAACCGTCCATGTTTGATCTTTCGATTTTGGGTTTGGTCTTACTCCAATCCGACCAAAAAATCAAACCGTGCTCAGGAGCAACGGCTATTCCTCTCGGCTCGTCCAAATCTTTATTGATTAAAACCTTTCGGTAGAGACCCTGCAAAGTTGCAACTTCTATTCTGTCCGTTCCGGTATCGGTCCAAAATAAATTTCTAGATAACCAATCGACGGCTATGCCATCGGAATGTTGAACTTCGGTGATTATAATATCTTCTTGTTGACTTCCTGAGATTTTAGCCCGTCGTATCCCTTTATTATTATCATCGGTCCAATAAATGAAATCTTCCACCGGATCGTAGTCCACGGCAATGGCATGTCGAATGCCTTGCAGGGGAAGTTTGAAAGTCGTGTAATCCGGGCAATCTAGGGAAATTTTATTAATACCGTTGCGCTGAACGACGATTAATATTTCCTGAGAACCATTAGCGCAAGTGTATTTGTTAATGAGTTTAACACCAGTGGGACAAGCGCATTTGTATCCCGAAGGATTGGTAGATAATAAACATAAATGTGAACACCCTCCGTTGTTTGTATTGCAGGGAGTGTCCATTGAAGGCTGACGTTCAGGCTCGTAAGCTCTCACGTCCGTAGGCACGTATTCACTATTTAAAATATTTTTCGGCGAAACGTTTGAATTATTTCTATCTAATTCATGAATTGACCTAAAAGATAAAATTTTGTACGTAAAAATTTATTTCTTCGACATAAATGAGTACTCCATAATAAAATTTAAAAAAAAAATAAAATACCATAAGTGAAGGAATCATTTTCAAATGGAACTCGGGGAATTTGTAGGAAAAGACAAGGTCTGAGAAATTGGATATGATTTGAATATAATCAAAGGTTTCCACAAAGCTAAAAACAGGGGAAAAAAAAATATGAAAAAATGAAAACAAAAAACATTTTAAGAATTATAATCAAAGTTGATGATAAAAAAAAAAAAATTAGTATTCACTAACCAAGTTTTCCAATCAGTCCAATAAATTTTATTTTGAAAAGATGTTATGCCATAAGGGTATTCCATACCAGTTTTAAGAATTTTCCTTCTATTTCTACCATCGTAATCAACTACTGCCAAAAATTGTAATTTTCCATCCACCCAATAAATAACCTTAAAATGAATTAAATTGTTATATTTATTTGTAAATTTTCATTAGTTTTACTTTTAGGTTAAAAAAAAAAATATAATAATAATACCTCATTGTCATAATCGACACTTATACCATTTGGCCAAAATATATCATCGCTGACAATTACTTTTCTCGAATCATTAGAACCATCCATATCAGCTCGTTCTATTTTAGGTACTTCTCCCCAGTCTGTCCAAAACATAAACCTAAAAAAAAAATTAAGACAATATGTCACTTTAATTATGTAAATTTATAAAAGAAAAAGATGACATTAGAGAAGAAAATTACTTTTTCATAGGAACTAAAGCTATTGCTCTCGGTTGATCGATGTCATCCCAAAACAAGACTTTCCTGTGTCTTGTGACTAACGAAACTACTTCAATTCGTTTTGTATCTCCATCTGTCCAATATAATTTTTGAGTCACCCAATCGCAAGCAATGCCATCAGGAGACATGACCTGAGTTTTTACTATCGAAAACTAAAAAATTAAACATAAAAATTGTTAGCAATTTTAAAATTAACATTAAAATTCCTTAAAATGTGTGTAATTTATACCTTATTAGTTGCATGTGTGCCATTGTAATTGGCACATTGAATAACTTCAAGCATATGATCAGTCCAACATATTAAACCTGCTTTGTAACAGAAATCGAGAGCAGCTCCTTCTGTCAAATCTCTAATAATAATTGTGTCCTTAGCATTATTTTTTGTTACATTAACTATTCTAATATCTTTGGAAGTTATATATGTCAATAAATGAGGATACCCTAAAATTATAAATATCAATCATATGTCAAAAAATAATCTTAACTAATTTAAAATGTATTAAAATTGTTAAATAATTCTTTTTTTTTTAAATTGATAATTATAATAATATATTAATAAGTGAAAGAAAACTAATAATTATAAAATAAACTGAATGCAAAATAGTTTTTTATAAAACATCAACTTCATTCATAATAAATCAAAACAAAGCCTATTTCAAAACACGGTATTTCGAATTACATTCATCATAATTATTAAATGAAAAATTTAAAATATTTGCTGCCAGAAGGAGAGTACATGTATTATTACTTTAAGTTTTTTTCATAGTTTTTTTAAAAACGTCAATGGCAGTGAAATATTTTAAATAAATATTTTAATTGTTTAGCATATAGTTTTAAAAGACAGCCATTTTGATGAAAACAAACTTACCTTTGCCAATTGTAAATATACTTAATAATGCAAACAAACGACAAAAAAATATCATCCTAACGGATATTTAATCCATACAAATATTTCACTTTTTCTTCTCATTACTTGAATATATTTAAATTCATATTTTTTGAACATCTGACGCCGGATAATAAGTTTTTATTCATCTACACACCTGACACTACTGTTGCGTGTCTTTAGACGTTGAATGGAATTCCATAGAGTAATATATTTTTTTTTTTTGTTATAGTTTTAATTGTCAATCACAAGTTCAAATTTTTAAAATTTGTAAAAAACATAATTTCCCCCCCCCCCCCCACGATATTAAATTGCATTCTATAAATTAAATAAATAATTATTATATATTTTAAGCTAATAATTTTTACTTTTTTTTAAATTAAAATTGTTTTAAAACTATTTTTATTTTTAACAACCGTTATGGTACTTAATGACAAATTTTAAAAAAATGTGACTTATTCAATTTTAATTATTTGACTTGATGAAAAATATCTTTTTTGTTTGTATATTCATGTACATCACAAAAATATCCTTCTTTAAAAACAAATACCAACATGAATACTCTTAAATTTAGATATTTAATAATTACTATTCATCGTTAATGAGCAAAAGTATTAGTGTACAAAGTATGCAGTCTTTTTCATAAAATCGACAATAATAATAGTCAGGCATTCGATAAAAACAATAATTGAAAAGGTTTAAAAAAAAATTAAACTTCTTAAAAGAAAAGTATTATATTATATATATAAAACTTATTGAGGAGCTTTTCCTCTTCCGAAACCTCCCCTAAATTCCATTTCACCAGTTCCAGCTCCGACATCTGCCTTTTTGTCAAGACCAGGGGTACGTCTGTAAGCACCACGTTCGTCATTCAATTTAGATCCTTCAGATCTTGGGGCACTAGGTCTAGCTCTGGCAGTTTCTTGTTTAACTTGACGTTTCAATGTAGCTGGGACAATCTATATTATGAAAAAAAAATTTAAATGTAAATACAACAAACATAAAATTAAATTTTACAAATCACATTTATATGAAAACATTAATAAAAACTTGGAGGTAGTATTAGACTATAAGTTAATTTATTCATCAGCATAGAAAAAAATAAGGTACTTATTTGGAATTATGTACATAATAAATTGAAACTTTACGACAGAGGAAAATATCACATTAAAATAAAAACTTATGGGAAATTAATAATAACAACTACCCCTAATTATTGATTGAAGAAGTAGACCAAGATTTAAAATTATTACTCACGGTTACAAAACTGAAAATTTTCTTTTTTATCCATAAATATATTACTAACCTCAGCAGGTAAATGTAAAAATGCTCTTAAATATGTAATTCCTTCATTTGTCAAATACCAATAGTAATGCCTCCACGCAAACTGTTCATTAACATAACCTCTAGATTTTAAACTTTGCATAGCCTTAATTACTTGAAGATTAGGAATATTTTCTAATTCTGGATGTTTTGCTGCATGGAAATCCTTTTTAGCAACCATAACACCCTCTTTAAAGAGGTATTCGTAAATAGATAAACGATTTTTTTTTGGCATCAACATTTCTAAAAAAATAAAAAAAAATAACAAATAACCATCACGGGTAAAAATAATTTTCGTTTCGTTAAAAACGATAAAAATATTAAAAAATAATATTTTACGTGCTTGAATATTTTAAAATTTATAAATGAATAAAAAGAACTTTTCAGGATTGATAAAATAATTACAGATTAAAATTGAATACACTTACTTGACGGAATCTATAACCACATCCAAAATGAAGGATTAAACCATAGACGTCAATTCCACAGAAGTTTAACAACAATTTCAACTTTCCAATTAAAAATTTCCAAAAGGAAAATTTTAATTAAAACAAAATTTGAAATGCACAATAAATTATTAATAAAAAAGTATTTTATCTCTTTATTAGTATTTAAAAAAATATATAAAAATTTATTAGTAACAATATAAATATTAAAATTAATTACATTGAATAATAAACGCAGTGGTCGTAAATTTTAGAGTTTCAAAAGTTGGCATCATTTTTTATTTTAATAATTCATGATGGCGGCAAAAGTTTCAAATGCAAAATATACCGTTAGATTTTATGAAACGTCATTTTAAAAAATTTTCATTTTATTTGTTAATAAAAATATAAAATATTATCAAAATTAAAGTTAATGTCTTTTTTTAAATATCAAAAAAATTATTATATCCATATATTTATAATAATAATAATAATAAAAGGAATGGAATAATAATAAAGATAATAATTTTTTTTTTTTTCATTTGGATGAATATATTAATATAATTACCCATTTCCGAACAACAAAATTATAAAATAATTAAAAAAAAAAAAAAAAAAAAAAGTTGTTCACTTATTGAGCATTAATTTAATAAAATAAAAACAAATAACCTCACCTGCTTTGGATGCTCAGCTATAAATTAATTGCACTCATTATTAACTTCAAACATTGACACAACATTATTATTATTATTATTATTATTATCATTATTCGTTACAAATAATTTTATTATTATTTAAAATAATTTAAAAAAAAAAAAAAAAATGCAATCAAAACATACTAAAAAATTATGTCAAAGTGAGTGTATAAAAATTAAAATAAAAATTTTACAAAAATTACATTTTATTTTTATTATTATTATTATTATTATTATTAAAAAAAAGAGACAAAATTAATAAAAAATGGGGGAGGGGGGGGTTTAAATTATTATTTACAATTATTATTAAATTTTTTCTTGAAAATAATTAAATAATCTATAGACAAAACCATTCATTCAATCAATCAATCACTCAATGAATCAAATTTGAATTTTATAATAATAATAATCACAGTAATTTTATTAATTTAATTAATTTTTTGAACTTTTTTTATTATCGTATAAACGCATGCACACGCACGCACGCACGCACGCAAACGCACAATCACGTGATTAAATTATCAATTTTATTATAAAATTTTTAAAAAATAGAAAAAAAAAATTAATTTTAATGTATTCAATTAAATAAATACATACTAACTACACCTCATCTTAAAAAGTAAATAATAATAATAATAATAAAACAAGTCATTTAACTACTACTACTAATAATAATAATAATAATAATTAATTAATTAATTAATTTCTACAAACGATCAATAAATAAATAAAAAATTTAAAACATGTATGTATATGTAATTATATAAATTTTTTTTACCTTTTTATTATTATTATTATTATCATCAGACTTTTTTCTTATCAATGTATTCACTCGATTGTAATTTTTTATTTAATTAAAATAACTACGGCGATACGACGGCGACGACGACGACGGCCATGATGATCATAATGATGATGATATCATTCAATTGACTTCTGGATAAAATAATAATAATAAATAATATTCAAACATGACATTAATAAAAAAAAAAAAAAAAAAAAGTTTAATTTCTAAAACCTTTATTTATAAATTTATTATTATTATTATCACTTTATAAAATAATTACACGGAAATTAATAATAATAGTAATAATAATAATTAATATTCACAAAAAAAATTATACAATAAAATTAAATTATTATATTAATAATAATAACAACACAACCTAAAAACTTATTTTTAATAATGATAATAATAATGATAATAAACCGTGTATGTATATATATATATATATAAAACTAAGTATAACTATTTTAATAATAATAATGATGATAACTTTTGTACAATAATGTAAAAAAAAAAAAAAAACTTAACATAAATACATTTTTATTTTTATTTATTTATTAATAATATTATTACTATTATTATTATCATTACATTTTTTTATAATTAAATTAAAATTTCAATGTTAAGTTAGCACCTTAGCAGAAGACAACAAAAAAAAAAACGAAAAAAAATTTTTTTTTTAATTTGTCCACATTCATTTATTATTATTACTATTATTATCATTAATTAATTTTAAGACGGATGGGGAAGAGGGGGAGGGGGAGGGAAGAAGGGAAATCGGCAATCGTTTAAACAGTAAAAAAAAAAACTACAATAACAAACAACAACAATAAAACAACGATAATAATAATAATAATTATTATTATTATTATTTACTAAGGATAAAATATTTATCCTTAGTGTACATAATTAAAAATGTTTTATTAAAATAATAATAATAATAATAATACTTTAAAAAATTATTTTATTTATTAAAAACAAACAACGTAAAAAAAAAACCCGTAAAGAAACAGACACAAACAAACCAACAACCAAACAATTATTTACTCATATGCGATTTTGTTCCTTTTAAAATTATTTGCCAGCGAGACTCGATTAAAAAATAATAAAATAATAAATAATTATTTATTAACCTATGTATTATTAAATTGTTTTAAAATAATAATAATAATAATAGTGATAATAATAATAATAATAATAAGGAAATGATAATAATACAAACATAATCGTAATGACAGTGCAAGCACTTAATTTATTTAATTATTTATTTATTTATTTAATATTTATTTATTTTGAATTATACAAATATAAATACAATTAAAAAAAAAAAAAATTATAAATGCAATATTTAATATAATTAAATAATGTATATTATTAAGGCAATTAAATAAAATAAATTAAATAAGACTTCAATTAATGAATGAATGAATGAATGAATGAACGAACGAACAATTTTGATTTGTAATTATCGGTTTAAATCTTTTACGCGTGACGTCACTTTATTGAATTCATTCATGGAGAAAAAAAAAAAAAAAAAACAAATTTGGTTTGAACAAAACTCCTCCTCCCCTTCCCCTCCTCTTTCTCTCCGCCCCTTTTCTTTCCGTTTCTCCTCTTCTCTTTCTCCGCCCCCTTTCTTTTCGTTTCTCTACCTCCTCCTCTTTCTCCGCCTCCTCTCTTTCTTATCTACCTCTCTCCTCTCCCCTCGCCATCCCCTATTTCCTTTTATCACTTTTTAATTTTTTTCCTTTTTTTTTTTTTTTTTTGTTATCATCAATTGAAGTCTTACAAATGAGAATTTTACAATGCTCAAGTACTGGACATTTAAATTATGTTTTTTTTATTTTTTTATTTTATACTTTTTAACAATAATAACAATAATAACAATAATAATAATAATTTGTTCTTGATTTATTTATTTATTTTTATTTGATGGGAGTAAATAAAAAAAAAAGAAAAACGCCGTCGTTCGTCATCGTCGTCGCCATTTTTTTTTGTTAATCAACAAGCGGATGACATAAGCTAAACATTTAGCTTTACCATTTACGACGTTGCCTTTAATTCAGGACGATTTTGACATGCCTGAATAATAAAAAAAAAAAAAAAAAAAATTAAAACTTTTTTACGAAATCATTTACTTATTATTATTATTATTATTATTATTATTAATAAACCCGATAGGTAAGAGAGAGAGAGAGAGAGAGAGTTTGCTTAATTTTTAATCATTATCATTATCATCACATAAGATTCCGCGAGATTTTTACCCTCGTTCTACCTTTCCTATTAATCGTTATTTATTTTATGAATGAAATAACGTTTCTTTTATCTCTATGGTTTTGTTTTCCCCCCTTCCCTCCCCCGATTGAAATCCTTTTTTTTCAAGGGAGTAGTATTTATTTATTTGCAAACTCATTTCCTTTCCCCTTCCCCTTCCCCTCCCCCCTCTCCCCCGCTTTTATATTTTTAATAAAATATTTAATTAAATAAATTTATTATGTATTTGTATTTTACTAACCTAACCTAGTTAGATAAGTTGAAGCCACGACATAGGACATAGAGTTCATAGACTTTTATTCTGAAATTAATATAATAGTTTGTTTTTAGTGCGTTTTCAGAGAAATCATAGAGTAAATAAACATCATTTCCTTTTTTTCATTTTGTTGTTAGGGATGCGTTTGGTTAATACTTCCCTTATTTATATGCATATATATATATATATATATATATATATATATATATATATATCTATATTATTATTATTATTTTCTCATTTCTTTTTTATACAATTATTTATAATTAATATTTTGATTGATTTATTTAAACCGTCCATTTTAAATTGAGTCATAAATGTTTAAAAAAAATATTTAAAAAATTGTGACGTCATAGTTATAAATGTATATAAATTACACGGTTGGACCTACCTGTAGGAGCATGTTAGCAAAATTTGAATTTGTAAATTTAAAATGTCTTTTATCGTAAAATTTTAACAATGCCGGACTGTACGGATGTCGATCTTTTAAATGCAAATAATGTACTTCCGGTTCGTTTGTCGTGTGTCCGCATTCTTCGCAAACGTACATCTAGAACAAATAGGTTGTTAATTACACGTCTTTTTAATTTAAGTTTTAATTTAATGCGTATTAATGAAAAAATTACACTTACTTTTGTTCTCCTTTCTTTGTAAGCGTACTGATGTTGAACTCCGTGAACTTTAAGACAGTGGGATTCTAACGAACACCTTTGCGTGAAACTTTTCTCGCAGAGGTTGCACTTGTAGGGTCGAACACCCGTGTGCGTTCGCGTGTGCCTTTTCAAATCGAACGTGTCGTTAAATCCTTTTCCGCAAAATGTACACAGGTAGCGTTTAACATCCGAATGACATTTCATGTGTCTATTAAGCAGTCTTTGTAGGGAAAATGATTTAGAACATACTCTGCACGAAAACCTTGTTAAAAAGAAAGAAAAAAAAACAAAACGGTGATAATAATAATGATAAATAAATAAAAAGTTTTTTTTTGTTTGTGTTTTTCATTTAACTTACTTTGTTTCTCCATTTTCTTTTTTCGTTATTGCGATTTTATTTGACTTTTGTTTGTCGTCCATGTGACCTCGACCCGGGCCGGGTATGTGTTCGTGATTAGCCAAAGGATTTTTTATACCGTGACCTCCATTTACGAATTCTATATGAACATCTCCAGTCAGACCAAGCTTTAAAAAACAAAATGATAATAATAATAATAATTATTTTATTTACATAATTAAGTGATTTTTAAAACTTATTCGCATGCCTACCCTAGATTGAATCGTAGCCGTTCTCACTTGTAGGCCGGGAGGTACAATGTTGGATGGATCACTACAACTTCCCGCCGAATCCCTTCGTCCGTTTACCGATCCGGGAGATGAAAGGGAGCTACCTTCGATACCATTATGATCTACGCTACCTGTGATAAAATTTTGTGTACCTTTAATTATATAGGAATTGATGAAAGTAACATCCGGTAAATTTAAAAAAAAAAAAAAAAAAAACGAAAACCCAACGTACCTCCAGGTGAGGTTATTGACATTGGAGGACTTTCTAAATTTCCGTTATTGAAACCTAGTCCCGGGGATAGTAACGAATGAGCGGATTCGGAAGTATTGTTATTGTTATTGTTATTATTGTTGTTGTTGTTGTTATTGTTGTTGCCGCTACTACTATTATTATTTATATTACTGCTGTTGTTGTTGGTGTTATTGCTGGGACCGTTGTTTTGCTGTTGCTGATGTTGAAGTTGAACTTGTATTTGTAGCTGTTGCATGTGAGTTTCGCTATCGTATTCATCGTTATTCCCGAAAATTGAGCTTTTTACATACTGAGGAGGATTTGAATAACTTCTACCAGAATCATATGATCTTGGCAAGGAACCTAAAAAAACGAAAACGTCGTAAACCACATCAATCAACGTGATCAACGTTATACCTTAAAATACGAAAGGCAAAAGAATGTAAATTGATTGATATCGATCTGACAGCGTTTGAACACGTTGCCAAAAAAAAAAAAATGTCGACCGAATCTTTTGATTAATTATACACAATAGTATCGGTAGCAATCGTTTAAAAATTCAATGTTGACACCATATTCCTTCTTCGATAAATTTTTCACGTACCTAATACGCTATTGCCGCAGTGCTCCGGAAACGGGTTCACGCTGGGCTCAACCGGAGAGGGCATGTTCACTTCTCCGTTCGATCCGATCGATCCTATGGGACTCATGTCTGGACCCATGGGACTCAAAGAATCATCTTCGAGCAAACTTTCTCCCGTCGAACCGTAGCTTTGCCTAATGTCGCTCATCCTTCCCGATTTTAATAAGTCGTTTAAATTGCAATTTAATTTGTTATCGGTTTCGTTGAGTATTGCGAGTTCGCTGGCTAATTTAACAGCGTTCATATCGAGTTTGCTGTTGTTTATCTTAGGCGTGAGTATCTCTTCGGGCTCTATTTTAAGTTCCGTGTTGAGGAGTCCTAATCGTTGCGTTATTAGGTCCTGTTCGGAAGATAGTAAATTGTTGGCATCCATGTTGGTCACTTGATTGAGTTCGTCGTCGGATGGTAAACGTTGTAGAAATAAATCCGCCGCATCCGACAACGTTTCTAATAATGCGTTGTGATCCGCCGGACTGGCAAATGTGAGAGTGGCCGTAAACTGAAGGGGATCTACAACCGCACCCGTTGCCAAATCTATCATCATGCTATCCGCTATATCGTAATTAGACGTGGGTAATGCGTACGCAGCCATTTCTAAAAAAATGTTAAATTAAATTATGTAAAATGAAGTGTATCGCATGTAATTTAGAAGAAAAAAAAAAAATTAAAATTTACCTTGTAAAATTTCTTGTCCAGTGTCGCAGTCCATGGGCAACGTCGGACCGCCTAGACTGTTCACAGCAAAACTGTAAAAATAAAAAAAAATTTCGTATAGGTAAATTCAACTGACCACTAATTTATTTCGGTATTTTACACGTGGTGCAGTCGCACGTGAATACCTGTTGCCCAAATATTGTCCTGGAAATCCATTTTTAAGACTTTCGTAAAAGGGTGGAAGAGATGCTGTCGGCGGACTCGAAGGACCGTAATTTCCTTTATTCGGACCTCCGGGATTTAAACCTCCACCGCCGGGATTCAAACTCCCGCCGAGACTTCCTCCCGAGCCGCTTGACAAACCTACGATGTAAATTTTTACAAAATGTCTTCTTTTTTTTGGCCTTAACGTCAAAACTTAAAAATAGGAAAAGAGTATTTACCGCCAGAAGAATCATTTCCTCCGCCGCCACCGTAGCTCACTCCGTTACCGCCACCGCTTCCCGAATTTCCCGTGTTTCCCGATGTTCCACCTCCGGCAGCGGACGTTCTTCCGTGACCGGCAGCGGCTGTCATTATAGCTCCGCACGAACCGTTTCTCCTCACTAAATTAAAAACAATCCATTACGATTTATTCGTTTTTTCGCGAGTGGCCAAATCGACAATCGTTTTTCGTAACCTCACCTGGAAATGCGGAGGTTGTAGTTCTTGTCTCCGTGGCAAAATTAGACGAATTGCACCTTTTACGCTCGGCCGTGGTTAAATAATTATCCCTTTCCGATATGTAATTCGGTTGTGTCCTTTCCATACCGTAAAAAATCCCACTCGAAGGTTTCCGATTTAAAAACGGTAGCTCCTTAATATTTTTCTGTTCGAAATATTGTCTGCTCAATCTTTCGTTGTTGAACAATGATGGAATTTTCGCGGCTGGATTTCCAAGCATTTCTTTTCTATAGCCTAAATTAAAAATGTCGTCGTCGTCGTCATCATCATCATCGTCGTCATCATTTTCATTATTATTCACAATAGAGTAATCAAAAGGTAAAGGTGACAAACCTGATTTCGTTAGGCGCCTCTTATGATCTAAAAATGGATTGTTTAAACCGTTCACGGGTACGAAATATTTTTGTATACCGTGAAACCTTTCTAAAAATCTCAACAATTCCTCTTCGGAAAGTTTCAAATCCGCGTTGACGCAATTTTTACTCAATTTCTTGTATTTCTCGATGATTATCTTTTTCAATACGGGTATCAATATCTTGATGTCGTATTTTTTTATCACTCTCGGAGGAGGCGGAGGTGGAGGAGATTTTTTAGGTACGTGATAATCGATCGGTGCATCTTGCTCCGGAATCGCATCCGTGTCCATGGGTTCTTTGTCTTCGTCATCTTTTTCCGTTTTTATGGGTGAGAGTTTTGCTTGGGGCGCCCTTTGAATCACAGACACCTGCTTTCCACAAAAAAAAAAATAATAATAATAATAATAATAATGATACCCGCGATTCGGTGCATGCGCGCGCACACACGCATCAGACTTTAATCAAATTTTTAAAAATTCTTTTCTACTAAATAAATCTACCTGCTGGCACCGTAGAGCCGGTGTCATCTTTGGTACGCCGTCATTTTCTTCCTTGTCCTCCTCCTCCTCCTTGTCGTCCTTGTCGTTGACGTCGTCGTCGCCCTCTTCTTCTTCTTCTTCTTCTTTTTCATTTTTGACAACGTCAACGTTGACTTCTCTCCCCGTCGAGTCGACATGATTCGAATTGGAAAAATCTTTTTTATTAGAATCCACCGGCGGATGGGGTAAATATTCTTTTCTTTCTGCTCTTGTCAATACGTGACCTCGGCTACCGTATGGAATATCACCTCCGAGTATCGAACTTATAAATCTGCGTCACAAATATTTATATATATATAAAGGCTACCGTTCGGACGAGAGCGTGCAAAAAATAAAAAGAAAGAAATAAAAAAAAAAAAAATAAACGACTCGGAATAGAATCGGCCTAGATTACAAATTAGAGAATGCAAAGCAATGACCTTTCAATTCGTGCTAATGATATTTTTGTAAATACATTCAAAGAAGGGGGAGAGGGGGGGTATTATCCAAAAAAAAAAAAATCGTGGCAGTAGTCATTCTCTCTCTCTCTCTCTCTCTCACTCTCATTGTTTATTCACTTTGTGATAGATAGTTCGTTTAAATTATTTATTACTATTACAGAGTATTTATTTTTAAAAACTCTCCGGTCATTAATAAAACATTTAAAAAAAAAAAGCTTTATTATTATTATTATTATTATTGTCTTGATTGACATTTGAGGCTAAAGTAACGTCAAACTAGTTGTTTTAGTAGTAGTAGTAGTGAAACCTTCAAAAAAAAAATTTTTTTTTTTTTATATCATTTAGTGACGGATATAACCAAATTAACGTACAGTAGGTTAAGGTTTTTTTTTTTTTTTGCATAATTTTACCGTCTTTTTTCTTATTATTCGTTTTTATTCTCGATAAATTTTTGTTTGTTTGTTTGTTTGTTTGTTTGCTTGTTTGTCGAGCCATCAACGTTTTTTTTGGATCGTCGAACAAATTTCAAAATTATTATTATTTACTAAAATTTTTTTTTAAATAAATATTTGCAAAAAAAATATATAAAATATTTCGCTTCGAGCAAAAATATCATTATCATTATCATTATCATTATTATTATCAAAGATTGTTTAATGTTTAACTTACCTCCTGGGTGGGATTTGTGATTTTTTTCCATTCGTCTCGTCTGACAAATTGAAAGTATTTGTTTCCCTTTCGTGACATTTCTCTTGATTTGAACCGTTTTGATTTTCTATAAGAAAAAAAAAAAGAAAACGGAAATGAATAATAATAATAATAATTAAACAAAATTTCATTTTTCGAAATAATGATGATGATAATAATAATAGCAAGAGGGTAGTAGGAGGGTAATTTATGGTATCACTTGTCGTACAAAAAACAAATTCGTTTATTTAAAAGGGACAGTTAAGGACGTTTCTCTTTCTCTCTCTCTCCCCCTCTCTCTCTTTCTTTTTGTTTCCCTTTTTAAGGGTGAAATACACCAACAGGTATTTTATAATGACCGTTTTTTTTTCTTTTTTTTTGTTCTTTTGTACGTTTGACCCTGAACGCGTGAATAATAAAAAAATCAACCCTTTCGAAAATGACAGTTAGTGATCGTAAACAACAACAAAAGGTTTTCTTTTCGAATTTTTTAACAAACCTCGAATCATCAACAAATTTTCCGGAACAGCCCTCCCCCCTCCCCTCCCTTCCCCCCTTTCGAAAAAAAGGAAAAACGTCTCGAAAATGACGCACACGTGCCAATCTTGAAAAAATAAAAAAAAAAAGAGGTCAATGGCACATATGTTTTGAGGTTTTATGTATTTGGCTTTGATACTATTACGTTGTAGTGGTGGTGGTGGTGGTGGTGGTCATTACATAACCTTTAATGGTGACCGGTAATGTTTAAGAGACAAAATAATAAGACGACTGACTACCAACCAGTTTAAAGACGAGTTATAATGTCTATTTTCATATATGTAATCCGTACCTACGGGGGAAAATCTTTTTTTTTTTTTTTTTCGTAACAACCTCTGGCTGCCATCTTTTATTTTTTCTAATAAAGCCTACCGGGTTTCAAGGAAATAAATAAAATAAATAAGTTTAAAAAAAAAAAAAAAATTGTTTACTGTTTTTTTTTTTTAAAAACGTTTAAATAATTTTCACTTTTAATTAATTATATTTATATCCCGAAGGAAGGAAATTTGATTGGATAGAAATACAAAACGGAATTTAATTCGTTTGTACGTCGTGTACCTAGGTACTCACTCTCTCTCTCTCTCTCTCACTCGTAACAAAAGATTTATTACGTATATCAATAATTTACGAGTTATCTTCTCTCTCTTTTTTTTTTTTTTTTAGAAAAATTCTAAAAACAAAACCTCTCTCTCTCTCTTCATCATTACTGTTTGGGTTCCTATTCGAATTCGTTTCGAAATCATATCTCTCTCTCTCTCTCTCTCTTTTTCTCTATCTCTGTCTCTCTCATCGGCATAACCGAACAAAAAAACAACGATTTATCATTAACAATTTTTAAAATTAGTTTTTTTTTTTTTTTCAAACGGAAACCTAATAAATAATAATAATAATAAATGCCGTATGTAAGACAATTGATCCGGTAATGGTTCCCCTCTCTCTCTCTCTCCCTCTCTTCCCCCTTCGTACGTTTGTTCTTTCACGATTCTTCCCCCCTTTTCCCCCCTTATTACGTATCGATTTAACACACACACACACAAGTTTTAGAGTAATTAATAATTCTTTCGGACGCATTATGTATCGAAATGACCTTTTTCGAGTCCTTCCTTGCCGAACGAACAGAAAACGAACAGAAAAAAAAAAAAAAAAAAAAAAAAAATTAAAAAATTACGTAACCGGTGAAAGTACATCTTCTCTCCTCCTCCTTCTCATTATATATGTATTCGGATCTTTGTATTTATCAGATTATTACAGGGGCAGGCGGCAGGAGGGAAACACATAATTTTAAAATAATAATAATAATGATAATAAATCGAACGCGACGACGACGACCATTTTGTTTTTTACGACGAGAAATATTATGGAAAAAAAAAAAAAAAATGAAGGTGACCCTCTATCTATCCATCTATCTATCTATCGGGAGTGCTGAAAAGAAATAAATTCAACATCTCGAACAAACTCATTAAACTCATCGACCAATGAGAAAACGGGAAATTTTTTATCATCTTCGATTTGATTGGTCGATTTCATTTAGCTGACTCGTGTTTGTTTGTTTTTTATTACGTTTCCATTTTTTTTTCTTCTGCTTTTTCCGCTTTTCCGAGAGAGAAACGTTAAAATGTTAAAACAAACGGGTAAAAAATTTGTTCCGTCATCGAAAACGAACGTTTCCCCCCCCCCCATAAATTTTCATCTCTCACTTTTATTATTATTATTATTATTATTATTATTATTATTATTATTAGTTAAAAACAAAAATGGAACGTGTTAATAATTTTTCAAGTGACCAAGGATTAAATTCGTGCGAAACAGTTACTATTATTATTATTATTATCGAGCGATAATTAGCAAAATTTCGCGTCGGCCATATTTAAAAAAAAAAAATTTGAGGCGTTACTATTCTACTGACGTCATCTCAGCATTCAAGGTCAGAAGTGAAAAAAAGTAACTGACGTTTTTTTTTTTTTTTTTTTAATGGCGGCCATTTTAAAAAGGCGAGGCTTTCAATTCGTGCGAATTCTCATTGGTTCGATATAAAAGAAGATGAAGAAAATAATATTGATGATGATTATGATGATGATGATGATGATGATGATAAAAATAATAACAAAAAACGAAACGAAAAAAAAAAATAAATAAATAAACCGTGATAATTTTTTTTTTTCGTTTTGTTTTGTTTTGTTCGTTTATTATTATTATTATTATTATTATTATTATTTTTTCGTACGACTCATGTTTCTTGTACAAAACAAAAAAAAAAATTCTTCCTCTCTCTTTCTATCTATTTTCAAATCACCTTCGGTTAAAAAAACAAAAGAATTTTTTTTTTGATAAAAATGCGACGGCGGTCGCCGTGGCGGTAGCGGCAGCGGCGTCGTCGTCGGCGACGTTTGCGGTGTAAAACATACGGTAAATAATAATAATAATAATAATTTATAATTTATGAACGCTATGGCCGCGAGAAACGTGTCATCAGACACTCATTTCCCATATAGCCCGCGACAAACGAATTTAATTTTTTTTTTAAATATTTGAAGGGGGCATCTCATCAATCGCCGTCACCGTCACCACCACCGCCCCCGCCCCCGCCTCACTTCTCCTCAAACGAATCAAATAAAAAAAAAAAAAAAAAAAAAAAAAAAACGTGATTGTTATTACGGAAATTATGATGATGATGATGATAAAAAAATCAGAAAAAAAAAAAAATTCTTTTAAATTCTACACGTCATTATTTCAAAAAAAAAAAAAAAAAAAAAAACAAAAGTTCGACGGCGGTGTTATTATTTTTCATACGATACAACAAACACAACAACAACAACAACAAACAGAACAAATAGAACAAGGTAGATGATTCTAAAAGAATGAGGGTTTTTCGATAATGGAGAAGGTCAAAGCCATAGGGGCACCGACGACTAATAACCAAAACTCGAATCTCATGTTGATATTTATACCCCACATTTTGATTATTGTTCCAAACACAAAAAACTATAATTTACAATCGGATCGAAAAAAAAAAAAAAAATGCGGCATTCGAATGAGGCAACAATTCCGCCCGACGTCCATTATCTCGAATCTTCCACCATTTTTTTCTTTCTTTTTTATCTATATAAAAAAATCGAAATAAGAGAAAAAAAAAAAAAGCGAAATAAATAAATAAAAAATAATTTTTGACGTTGGCCATAAGTCGAAAAACATTTGATCAATGATGCACTACAACAACTACTCCGACCACCGCGTTATAATAATAATGATGATGATGATAATAACGATAACGATAATAATAATAACAACCGGAAGTTATTTATATATATATTTTTTTTTTTCCAAGTTCACGAACTACCACCACCGATCGCCATTATTGTTGTTGTATGAATGACGTCACGCCGATTATTAATTCTATAAAGTACTCTATAAAAAGCAATTATTGATTTCAATTAAATTGATTTAATTAAAATCATAGTTCGGATTTAATTATTATTATTATTATTTTCATAATACGATCGCCATCATAATTTTTATTTATTTATTTTTTTTTCCGGTTGGCAAACCTTATAATATCAACAACGAAAAAATTCCATTTTTTTTTTTTTCGTTTTATTTCGTGGTTTTCGTTTGCTACCATCGACGGCATCGAAACAACAAAAAAAATTCATTCAAACATGGAAAAATAAAAAAAGTATAAATATATATTTCGAATCGAAACAAAACGATTTTACTCCTCACATAATACACGTCGGTTTTGCCGACTAATTTTTTTTTTTTTTTTTTTGTATTTCCTGACACGATAAAAATAAATTATAATGCCATTAATTCTTTTATTTTTTTTTTCGGTTTGAAATTAATCATATGAGAAAGGAACAATGAGAAAAACGTACGTTCAGAAATCGTAATTCCCCCCCCCCCATCATTAATTTGTAAAAACGAGAGAATAAGCAAAAATGTGTAAAATGTACGTTCAGAAATCATCAA